CTCACCCTCCACATCTCTGGCCTGTACCCCAGTTCCATATGAATAAATAAATAAATCTTTTAAAAAAAAAAGTCCCACTTCTCAGTGGGAGGAGGGAAATGCACTGGACTATAGTGATGGCACATGATGGGTGATATGGTGATGGGACACCCAAGGGGATTGCAACTGAGATGGAAAAATGCACAAAGTGATGTAAAAATAAACTATTAAATATAGATAAGTATCACTGTTCTTAACTATTTTCTAAAAATTCTAATTAAGTAAATTACTTTTAAATTTCTAGTGATACTGAATGGTGCCTAGATTCCAACACATTTATTTTCAAAGCTCCTCAGGTGATACTGACTTGCAACTGAGTTGGAGAACCATGCACTAGGATCAAAATGGAATATCAGGAAAAGCTTGTTAATCTCTGCATAGAGAAATTTAAAAAATGAGAATATTTGAATAATGATACATTTTGAACACTGACATTGATTTTTATTTGATTACCTAAGATTAACTTTTGTTTATAACCTATTCATTTAAAATGTTTGCTACTTAATTTTTGAACCATAGGCTTTAATTTATTCCCTTAGCATTTAACGAGTTATTGCAATCAACTACCTTGGTTCTGCATTATCACCTTATCTCTTATTTTATGGGACCCTAGACATTATTGGAATTGCTGTTCCGGATTAGCACCGTGGAGCTAAAATGTCCCACAAGCTCTTACAGAATAATTTATTGAATTTTATTTAAAAATAGAGCACTATTAGCTGGATAAGATGAAGTTGTTTTAAGCTAAAAATAAGAATGGATAAGAATACTGTGTATATCACAAAGTTTAATCAGTTGTATTTTATTTTGCTTGAAGAAAAAGACCAATGTATAACTCTGAATTCTGAGAGAGCTGTTTTATGGAATATAGTGACATCTGTGCATTAGTAAATAAAAAACAGAAAATGCAATAGCAACTTTCTGGGATAAGACAACTTCCTAAGAAGTTGCTGAGATGAAGAGAGGATAGTGAGGAATATTCAAATGTACATTACTAAAGATTAGATTTCCTTTTGAAGGAAACTGAAAGCTGAGAATACTTCTCCTTTCATCTTGTGAGTTTTTCCTATAGAAATTGATATTTGTATATAAGTGAAGCAATATTTTCCCTTCAGTTTCCTTGATCTTGAGATTGACTCTCTTTCAGTAAAGTTACTTTAACATTGTTGGTAAAAAATAGAGTTCCCTTATGTGTTTTTACCCATATAGTTCAGAAGTCACCACCTACTGCATCTATTATATTACTTTCAACTAATCAAATCCAAAAATTTTTACCATCTTTGTTTTGAAAAAGCTAGAGAGAATCTGTTGCTTTTATACACAGTATGCATCAGGTCTCCTCACCTATTTATTGGAACATAAAAAATATCCTACCTTTTCTACTTTAGAAGAATTTTCAAAAAGCATTCTTTTTTGTATAACTGATCTTACATTTTTGGACAATTTTTGTCTAAAATTATCAGAATTAGGTGAGCAGTATCACTATTCACTATGAATGCTTTATAAAAAAAAATTATATTGAACCTTTGAGAATCAGATGCTCTTGTGAAAGAGACATAACCACAAGTTCTTTTATAAAGTGAATGCTTTTTATTTTCCATAAAAAATGTCCCAGCGGAGGACACAGAAGACTTGAGCCAGGTGGAAGAGGTTTGAGATATAAAGTTAAGCAGTGTGTTCTAGACAGAAGGGTTTTGGGGAAAAAGCCAAAATAAGGGGAGAAGATGATTCAGTGAGATTGGTTGTGATAAAGCTCTCAAATATTTTCCCCATGAATGAATGAATAAGTGAATGCAGACTGCTGTGAGTCACCTTGCAGTGGATAACCAGGGTGTGTCCCCCACCCTCACCCCGCAAAAACAACTGAGAGTTCAGGGGAACAGATAAAGCTGGGGAAGGGGAGAGAGGAGGCAGAGAACCAGGGTTATCCACTTGCAAACCTGGCAGAGTTCTGATGGAGGGGACAGAACAAACAGCAGAATAGTAGACAAACAGCCCATCAGAATTTTATGCCCATTGAATTGGCTTATGTAATATTACTTTCAGTACTTAATTGTAATGAAACATTTTAATTACCTCATCTCTGCGGGTGGAGCAGGGAAATCAGAGGCATCCACATCATCATAAACTTCTTCTCCCTCTTCTAATAAAAGGCAAAAATAATGAAATACAGTCAGTTTAAGTTTTAGTAGCAGCAATAAAAGATGATTTTTTACATAAAAAATTTTCTTTTTATCAGAAGTAGTTTTCCTAATGTCTGGATATATTTCCTGGAAGGGGGGGGGACGTTTTAACCCTTTGGGTATGTGTGTTTTAAAATTGTTTCACAAATAGCGAATGACCAGTATTGTAATTATCAATATCTGGTGGAAAAAATAGTGAATGAAATTATTGAAAGATCACAAGTTGATGAATGGCAGGACTAGTACATTGCTCACAAACAAATTAACATTACTGGTTTTTGCCTGCAGACAGTGGAGACTGATAAAATATTTTATGTCTCTTTCTATGTCTTTTTATCTAGCTACCTACCCCTCTTTTCCTCTTTCATTCATTGATATGTCCTGCAGTTACTTTTACCTTATAGTAAGTTAAGAGTAGCACCACCTTGCAATGGAAAGAATATTTATTTTTTAAAAGACATTTCTGACACTGTAGTTGTTTCATATCAGTACTGGTGGAAAATATACTTATTTGATTCAATGGATTTTCTAATCAATAGATCCCTGTTATCAGCCTTCTGGAGTCCTTGGCTAGAGGAATGCTTTCTCTCTGCATCTCTTAAATTGCTCTAGAACAATGTCAATTGAAGAGATTAGCTGAAGAGCAAGCAAAAAATTTAAGGGACGATTATCATAAAAATTTTAAATGCACTTTGATAGTGGCAAGAATTTTGATCACCTTTGAAAATTATCCTCTCCCATTCCTTTTCTCTCTCTTCTCCATGTGTATGTAAATATATAAAATACACAGGAATAAATATAATATATTCATATAAGTAAATATACACAAATATTTATATATACATAAATGCATACTTATGTATGTGCACATGTATTTGTATTATTTCCTCATTCAGCTTCTTTTCATAGGATAAAACTTGCTCATATGTATAAAGAATCCATAACACATATGTAAAAATATGATTATCATTGATTTCCAGAAAAGGAAAGACTGTTCTATTCAAACAAATTTAAAAAAACCCTTGAAACAAAAGAACATTGAAACAAAATTGACTTATGTAATATTACATTTTTTTTACTTAATTGATCACATATGTTTCAATTTATACTTACTCTGTGGAGTTATATTTCTTGAAAATTTTAAAGATATGTGTAGCATCAGTTATTGATTAACGTGAGATAGTATCTTACCTATTTTCAAGGTGATAACTGAAAACAAAGTCTGGAAAAACAGATAAACTTTGTGCTTGATTTGCTTTTGATGTATTCATAAGTTAAAGTATTTTAATTTCCAAAAATTCTTGTAAGACAAAATTTTCTTTTGTTCAAAATAAATTTGAGAAGTCTTTTCAAGAGCTGTCTCAGTAGGCATAAAAAATAAGCTCATTAAAATTATACAAAGAAGTGGTTATCAGGTCTTCAAATATAATTTAAAAATAAATCAAAGAAATTTAGATGTATAAGGTCTTCAGTGGCATATGATCTGTTCTGTTTTTAGAAATCTTAATGCAGAGGGACAATACATCAAGTCTAACAGAAGTGGGGTATAGGGCATTGAGCAGAAGGTGTCAATTTCTGCTCACTTCACCCTTTCTCCAAAGTGACCCCCAAGAATGCTAGAAGAGTTGTTTAAAAAATACCATTAGATTGCATCACTTACCCAATAGTTTAGGAGGAGAAGGGAAACTGGAAAGAAAATGAGAAGACAATTACAATCAACCTAATATAAAATGGAAAATGACTATTTAGGAGAAGCAGGAACACTTAACAATCTGGAGGCTTCATAGGGCTCATACCTCTGTTGACCATAATTTCTTTCTCATTCTCCATTTCTCCAAAGGTTCCTGTTTCTGTGCAGCAATTTGGAATTTAGCCATAAATATTTACTTAGTTCCTATGTTGCCCAAGAAATTAAGAGCCAAGATATTCAGTGGTTTATTTCATCCACAGCCATTGAACCATTGTTTGCACATCTGTTTTATGAGGTTTGGGCATATCATAAAATCACACCAGAAGAAATAAAAATGACTAAGTTATTTGGATTTATTGTGGCAGAGCTCTGCTCTAAAAATATTCATTTGACTCAAAGAGTAGAAATGCAGAGCAAAGTCAACAAAAATCATAGGAATTTTAATGATTCCAATCTGTACCCCAAAACAGGAGAATGGTGAATAAGACAGAACTATCCACTGAAACTAGAGAGCAAGAACTTATTAATAGGAGTGATTTGGCATCAAAACAAGGTGGCATTTAGTTGCAACAAAAAAAGACCCTTGCTTGTATTATTAATTTCTAAACTTCAAACACACACAAACATGCACAGGTACACACATACATCACTGGAGAATGGTGCACAGTTACACTAATGTGGGAGACAATATTAGTTCAAACAATCTAAATCAGAATTATGTGGTGTGTAATTGAAGCAGAAAAAATAATCTCTGTTTTCATTTCTAAGTAAAGACCATACTCAAGTAGTGTTGCATCAAGAGACTGATTTCTTACGTTCACTTATATTTTAAGTGTCCTGCTTATTGAGTGTCTAGTGTTTCACATATAGGTTTAAATCTAGAAGTGTATGTGGAATTAATATTTTATATAGGTTTCAGTTGTGAAACATGGTGATTCTATTATAAACAAGAACATTTTGTACCAACAAACATTAAGAATCATCAAATTCATGTCTAAGGAATTTATGCTAAAGTATATTTTGTGGAGTGAAAGAAAGAAAAACTTACATCCTAGGATTTGTTTAGATAAGCATAAGGCATTTAAAAATAAATTTAGTATGAATGCATATATATTTCAAATAGAATGCATATACCACATCCTGCAATAGAGTACAAAGATTTTAAGTAATTTAAAGAATTCCAAATTGTGTCTCGCAAGTTGATTTTTGAAAGACGATGTATATTTTAAGAGTAGTCGGTATAAACATTATATAATAAAATATGCCACTGGAGTTGTGAATTTTGGGATATGATACCATAGTTAAAAAAAAATCCTAAGTGAAGCAATGACTATGAAGGTGTGAGGGTATGTGTATGTCTGCATGTGTTTGTGTGTTTGTGTATGATTGTAAGGAAAACAAAATAGATCTTTGAATCATGACAATTTTTGAATATTTTGTGTTCTTTTTATATATTGATAAATGCATGAGTTTAAGGGTGACACAGTCAATGAACCTCATGACTAATGAAAATAACAAAAAGTAGTTTAAGCCTGTCAGAATTTGGTTATAGGTTATGAAATATTAGTAGCACTTGATTAAATTGTTATTAGCGTAGTTATTGTGCACTTGATTTGGTGGTTGACTCTTACGATGGACCTTCATTACTGTCTGACTCAGAGACTTTAGGTTTCACTCGTATACTTTTCTTTTTGTCATCTTTTCCCTTTAACTTCTTCAAAATCCCCCAGGACCAGGAGTTACTTCTCTCTTCAACCTGTAGCATGAAGCTTTAGAGCATACAGGCATTAATTAAAATGGAATAACGGATTCAATGTAAAACAGTGAGTGGACATTCAGTTTGTTTCTTAGTAATTATATTGCTACTCATTCAGGAAGTAGCTACTCATTGTATTCAACAATATGATGCTAGTAAGCTTATAAATCAAGATCTTTGAATATTGCTTGGATGCTGTGGCTACTAGATAAGTAGTGGCTATTATTTTTTTCTATTTATTAAGATTTCTCTGGCTCTGTCAACTAACAAGCTAAGTCAGATTAAGCTCTAAGCATCCATTTAGCTTTATTTTATGATATGATTAGTTAAATTAAGCCAGTAATAATGCTGGTTCTGCTACAAATAGTATGTATCAATTTATTTTAGTTGTCTATAATTATGATTATAAAAGATTGACTTTATAACTGTAATCTAAAGAGATTGCTATAAAATATTGATTTACAAGTTAATAATTAGAAAACATATCTATACCACCTATAATTCACCACTTTTTCATTTTGCTACTTGACACAGTTGAAGTTCTGCCAAACAATCTACCACTCTATTTGAAGTGTGGTATGCTACAACTACACTTTTAACTTACTACTGCTCTCAATTAAGTATTCAAATCCTTTCTAACAATGCAATATAGAATACTATTTTCTGCTTCTTATTTTAAATAGAAATAACAACTATATTTCAGAAAGCACAATAATTTTCAAGCAGGCAATTCACTCATTATTCTCACCCATCATCATCTTCTTCCTCTTCGATCCCATCATAAATATCATCATCTGGGGGAGGTGGGAACATCCCTTCATTTGGATTAGAAAGGGAAAATCTTCTGTTAACTTTATAATTTAATCATGTAACAGTAATTCAAAATTTGATGATCTAGCACATTCTTAAGCTGCAGATAGCTTCTAAAATATTGATGATTTAAAGAAACAGAACATTTTCAACACACATAGATACAAAACTAAAATTGAATAGAAAATAGAATTAAATATTTATTGTGAAGAAGAGAAGAGAGTAAATGATAAGAAACTGTGAGGAGGCTTTAGGAAAAGATACTAATCAAGCTGTAAGTGAACACATTGATAAGAAAGGTAAATTTGTGAATTACGGAGGTAGCTGAAGTGAAAAAGAACTGAAAGATTACTGTTCATTTCTATTATTTCATTTAAGCAAAGTGCTTTTTTAAAAGACTCTTTCTTTTGATTTGTTATATACCTCAATAACATTGACAATAACTATATACCTCAATAACATTGCTTTTTCACAAGTAATTATTTCACAAATGCTTACTGAGTGTCTTTTCTATGCAGAAATATCCACGATGAAACTGAACTATGAGTTTTAGTATGAAAATTTTAGCATTGCAAGAGATTAATAAAATTCCTTCATTTTGTTGATGAGAACGTTAGAAGCTTTTAGATGTCATAGCCAAGGTGATTATATGGTAGCATCCAAACAATAATACTTCTGAAATAGGAGGCAGATGCTGTTACTAATTATGCTCAGACAATTGGCATAAATTGAGACTGTTATGGGCACATGAAAGTTAGCCACTCTATAACAATTTGAAAAAAGAAGTGATAGGGATGGGCTGACAGAAATCCAAATCCAGATCATAATTTCATCACCTACTATTCTTTCTATAAAAATTAAGAGCCTCTGTATTTGCAGATGGAAGCATTTTGTCAAAAATGTCAAAGACTTGGAGAAACTGCAGTAAAAGTGTTTGGCTTACCTCCACTTCCACTTTGACTGTGGCTAGGGACAAAAGCATAAACAAATTAATCTATGAAGGATCTAGTTCTCAGGGAGAGAAGTATATGTATTAGCGGTTATACAAAAGGGAAATAACATTCCAATTAAACTTTATTAGCATGTTGAAAGGAAGAAAAAGTGTTCCATATAATGATGAGTTGTAACAAAACAAAAGACAAAACAAAATAACCATAAGAATCCAGTGAAACTCAGCAAAATAATGTTCAAAGTGAGGATACTGTTTGCATTTAACATTTCCCAATTAAGCAATTTTCAAATTATACATAGTTAGATCATTCCATAAATGGACTTATTAAAAATAATAATACTATGACTTCAGGAGTCATATAGAACCATTATGGTATTAATTTTAATTTCTTTCAACTTTTAAAAAAAGATTTATTTATTTATGCATATAGAACTGGGGTACAGGCCAGAAGTGCAGGGGCGGTGGGAGGAGTCACCAGTGACAGAGTGGGGAGCAGAAGGCTAGGCAGGAGAGGTCTGCTGCACCATGTGGGTCACACCAGGGGCTGGGATTGAACTCATGGTGAAGAGGCTGCAGCTAGCTTGCAGTGCTGTGTTTTTTTTTTTTTTTTAAAGATTTATTTATTTGTCCATACAGAACTGGGGTACAGGCCAGAGGCTCAGGGGTGGTGAGAGGCTTCATAAGAGACAGAGTGGGGAACAGAACAGGCAGATCAACAAAGCACACTGCTGAGGGGAGCAGCGGGCGGGTCAGGAGAGGTCTGCCACGCCATGTGGTCACCTCTGGGGCAGGCGAGAATCGAACACATGCTAAAGTGGCTTTAGCTTTTAGTGCTGTGCTTTAACCCGCTGCGCCACCAGGGAGGGCTGCAGTGCTGTGTTTTAAAACCTATTGGCCACCAGTGAGGGCCCTCTTTCAACATCTTAAAGTCATCACATTTTATTCTTGGTCTAATAGCATTAAACATTTTTATTTTTAATTTTGTATATATTTATTTTTTATTATTATTTTTTCTTACCCCAGGGCTTTTCTACAGTGTGAACCATAATTCTTTAATTCTAGGATGCTTGCATTTCTTACTGACTTCCACAACACTCTGTAGTTCTATAATTTTATTTTGCTCATGTTCTCCACTAAAAGAATGACTATGAAAATTGGAATCTCAGAAGTCCTTGAATATTATTCCTTCATTTTGCCAAAAAGAAATGGAAGCTCTGACTTTAAATTAACTGAGGAGCTGAGGCAACATCAGCTTCCTGCCTTCCCAGAGTGTTGTTTTTGCCTATATGGTCCCACACACTCTGCATTGTCATTCTGGCTCTTTGGATAATCTTACAGCAACAGTCTGGTGTAACTATACAGTGTAAGTGTATACTAATATCTAATTCTTCAACCTTATCTAAGAATGAAAGAAACTTACCTAACACAGATATGATTAACTTAGAAATAAAAACGTATCAGTGCTAATGGAACTTTGTTTAAAAAAAAAAATACTGTCTTTATATGTAAAAAAAATTGGATTTTTGATGATGTTTTAATATGTGCTCCATTGCCTACATACTATTCTCACATTCTTTTTCTATGATACTGCCCTTTGAATATAAAACAGGCAGTGAGAATTATGTGAAGGAAAGCAATTTTAGGGGCTGCCAGTCCTGACACATATATTCCATCTCCATCCAGTTCCCAAAAAAACATAGTTCTAGGCCCTCCCTGGCGGCGCAGCAGGTTAAAGCGCAGCCCTAAGAAGCTAAAGCCACCTCCGCATGAGTTCGATCCCCGCCTGCCCCGGAGGTGACCACATGGCACCCCAGACCTCTCATGACCTGCTTGCTGCTCCCCTCAGCAGTGTATTTTGTCGATCTGCCTGTTCTGCTCCCCACTCTGTCTCTGGGGAAGACTCTCGCCGCCCCTGAGCCTCTATCCTGTACCCCAGTTCTGTTTGCACATAAAAAAATAAATCTTTAAAAAAAAAACATAAAAAAACAGTTCTAACTATCAGAAGCAAAGCTGCCACACATTATTTCATTTCTAGAGCAGTTTCCAAATTCCTAAAATGGTGTGTTTAGAATACAATACATCTAACAGGTGAAGGAGACGCAAAGAGAAGGGAGTATGAGAAAGTACAAGGCAAGAGGAAAGTATCAAAGGAAAGAGGAGGTTGAGAGGCTTAAGAGGTGTGCACAGAAGAAAGTCTGTTATATGAGGCAGCTCTGATGTTTGCATTTGTAACTTCCTTTCCTTCCATGTTTTATGTTTGTCACAGACACTGCTCACTGAGGCCAAGAGAGGACAGACCTCCGGGCCTGGGCTTGGAAGTCTCTTGTCTACTCACAGCCTTTGAAGTGCAGAGTCAGCAATTCTGACCCGGGAAGAAGAGCAAAAAGCGGTTCAAGAGTAAAAGGAACCAGGAGGGATCTGGAAGAGGGAGAAGGAGACGATGGTGCCATCTCTCACTCTGCCAGGGCAAGCAGCCGGCAGGGCACAGCATCTTCCGTGTTCCACTAAGGACAAAGCATGTTCTGTTAGGAGATTGCTGCCAGCAGCAGCTGTAGTTTAAAAAATACAACTTGTGTAGAAATTATGTGTCTTTCATTTTCCTATTGAATATGCATAAGGGGGCTGGATGCTAGTAAATATTATACTGCTGCACTTGTGTAAGATAGTGAGTCTTCAAACCACATAGCTCCTCCAAACCCATGAAATAGAAGATTCTTTTTCTGCTACATGTTTAGTAACTGGGTCATGTCTTTCAGATTCAATACAATGAAAATAGTAATAGTATTAGTTTGGGGAAACAGTCACCCATTATCTCTAAATCATGCTTCATTTTCTTAAGACTATCACCCCTTTTGAGTGAAATGATTCCTTTTTTCTTGCACATGAGTATAAAATGTTATTTGTTAATGTAATTGGATTCTTGCATCTAGTTAGACACATGGATTTTTTAAATAAAAACAGACTGTGACACAGTATAATATCAATATATTGCATGTGTTTTGATGTATTCATGTTCGGTAAGTTCTGTAAGTCTTACACTATATGTGGAACTTCAGTTGACTCCCAATCTGGTATTCACTAACTCCTGAATGTCAATGTTTTTCTTATGACTAGAGTCAATTTATGATCTGTAAATTCCTGTTCACCCCTTGCGTATTTTGATATGTGCTGAATAACTTATGGTCACAACATAAGAATGTGTTTCCAGCTATAATTTATTTTAGAAAGATGAACTTGCTAGGAAGCATTATTATAAATATAGATGATGGCATGAGGCAAAAGCAAATGGAAACCTAATTCTTCATATACTTTGTAAGTATATTACTAAATTAATAGTTTTACATGTTGTATATAGTTAATAACTGAAGCCTTTGTCCCTCTAAATCTGAGTCCTGGGGAATAGTTACATTTTACCTGAGTGCAGGTCTAGCACAGGTCACATTTTATTGGAACACAGTGGAGGTCTTTCAATTTCACGGGCAGTGCAGAGAAAAATGAGAATTCTTAACTGGGCTGGAGATTTTCCATCTCCTTTTCCATCAACTTGAGGAGATAATAGCTTTACAAGAAAAGGAAGGAACTGGGGGAAGAAGCAATGAAAGGTACAGAGAATGGAAAAACAAGGACACTGAAGGACAGCGGAAGGTTGTAGCTAAGGTGAGGAGACAGAGGAGGATTCAGGGAGTGAGGAAGTGAAAGACCAAGATGGGGAAGTCTGTTTCTGTTCCCCTGCTGCAGAAGGGTGCCCATGAATCTTGGGGGAAGGCTGCTCCAGCCTCGTGGAGTGAGAGACTCATGCAAAGTGGACTTATGGTTGATTTCCAGCTATCACACAGAACATGTTACTTTTACTTTAAAAGTAGAGTTGTAGTACAACAAATTCTGTTTTCTGTTTCCAAGTAAGAACAACTATATTTAGACTCAGAAATCTGAGTGCAGAATATTTTATATTTTTTATGAGAGTCAAATTTTATACTCCATGCTTCATAGTTTATAAAATCATACCTACTTAGATAGATACCCCTAAGACTTAATCAGAAAGAATATTCTGAATTATTGTTTTGGAAAGACCACATATTTGACAAGCTATTACAAATGGCCTGTTTTTTTTTCTTTTTTAAGTAATACTTGATACTTATAGCCAAAGAGTAAAATAAAAGACTTTGGAATTTCAAAGGGCCTTTCCTTATATTGGTTATCTTAAATAGTAATTTAGCCTAGGGGTAGAAAGATTGTAGTTTCTTAAAACACACTCTATGACAAGAAGAAAGTCTGGTTTGATTCACAGTTTGCATTTGCACATACCTGTTAACATCCTGCTCAGCAACATCATCATACACTTCTTGATCATCATGAAGAGCTCTTGATGAAAAGGCACTGAGGGAGTTCTTTTTCCTTTTCAAAGAATCATAATCAATCTCTACAGCAGTTGTTTTAATATAGCCATCTATCAAAAGGAGAACGATTCATGTTCAGGTAACTAAAGTTTAAACATTTTCAGGTGGCGAATGAAACATGTATTGCGCACTAGCTCTTTGATCTCTCCCTTCATCGCTTTGCTTGCATGTCTGATTTATGGACTCCCCATGTAGATGCACTGTGCTGTACTTTGTTAAAGTCTTACGCTGCTGTATTTGGGGTAAGCCGACTATCTCCAAGATTGCGACGTGATTCATCTGAGTCATTTTTTGTGTTTGAACACCAATGAAGAATCTAATGTCCTTGTCTCTCTTTGGAACAATATAAACACTTACATTGTCCCCCATAAAAAGGATAACAGATGAAGCGAGGAAGATGAGCTAGACCTGCCATTTTAAATCGTCCTATCTTTGTCCTGCAACACATTCCTATCTTACTACTTATAAGCATTCTGGAAGAATTTGCACCTTTGTTACAGATTCCAAAAGAGAAGACTATGAAGTTAAGGAAATATGGACTCACATGATCCCCTGACTGTTCTGCCCAGCCATTTTCCTTCAGGGTTGTCTGTGATGCGGATTATTTCAATTTGTTCTCCTTGCTTGACACTCAGTTCATTCTTTCCTCCTTTGACATCACAGCATGCTTTTGCTTGATGGAGGACTTGAATAGGGCCTGTCAGCTGCAGAGAGGAAAGAAATAATCACAATAGGCATCTTTGCTCTTCAGAAAATCTTTAAGCAATGTAGTTTTCAAAGACAGTATGCTTACAACTTGGCAACCTTCCTACTTCTATCATTATAGGTTTGAAGTAGAATGAGTGTCATTTCTGATGAGTGTTCTAGGTATTAGGGGAAAGTCACAGAGGCTCGAAAGGCCAGTAAAGGACAGATAAGCATGTGCTTGGGGGCCAGAAGACAGTGACATTAATCTGCTGGCCTTGTGAGGAGCTTGCTGACATCCTGATACCTGCTTGCCATTTATATATGTCAATCCACACCAGTGTTGTATTTCAATGGATTTACAGGTGGTCTGCTTAGTAGATGAAGACACTGCCTTGTTGTGCTGTATAGTTATTCGCATGGCCTTCTGCAGGCTTCAAATGGCAAAAGGAAAGGGAGGGGGCATTGGTGGGTGGAAAAACGTTTTCCTATTTCTTCCCTTTTACCTTTATAACAGTTGAATGGCTATACTCTTGGAGTAGAGATGGCTAGCATCAAACAAGGTATTATTTAAAAAATAATTTTGTAGATAAAAAGAAAGCAAAAATTTGTGAAGCTTAAAAATGAATATCCTGATAGTATGCTGTTTGTCGACAGCAGGGGAATAATCTAATTTAAACCATGACCCTTAATTTCAGTAAGTTGGTGTCTTCTTAGATATTTTAATATGAAAATATATATTATGTCTTTTAAAGAAATGAGAACTTATATTTTTGAACTCAGGATGCTACTTGAAGTGTTGTGAATTGTGACATAGCATTAATTATGGACCCCTGAGAAAGAAAAGATTATGATAGGGCAATGATGTTGAGATGCATTTTAATTTTATAATTTCAAGTGTGAAATATTTCATATGGGTCTTATTGTTTGGATTCTTAATGCAGGGAAAAGGAACATACTCAACAAAAAATGCAGTTATCAAGGTTGTTATTTTATAGATAACAACGATGAAGTCATGTTCCAAGCATGCAAGCTTTCAAAAAAGGTGTACCCTGTGTGTGAAAGTTAAACAGTGAGGGAACTCTGTGTGAAAGTTATATAGTGAGGTGGGAACTCTTTTCCACCCTCCAGTCACAAAGATCTTACTTTAAACTTCTTCTTTATCTCTTGTTCTTTCTTTTCCTTTTCTCTTTGTTCCTTTTTCTCTTGCTCTAATCTCTTCTTTTCTTCCTTTTCCCTTTTCTTCTCTCGTTCTTTGGATGTTTCTCTGTGAGTAAAAATTGTTAGATTGTTTCAGCATCTGCAGGTGCTGACCTGTTAAGGCTTGCTATCTAAAAGATTTCTACCACAAACAGAAGATGGTTGCTGGGGTATAGACTGTGAAAAGTGAGGGATTCTTAAAATTCCTGGGCTACTCAGATTGCTACTCAATAAGAGGTATGCACCTGAGGAGATCTCCTACTCATTCTACTTCCCATACAACTTGCCCCAACAAATAAAGCACATTGTGTATAAAGGTCCTGTTCTTAGTTATGAATTGACATTTTTCTCTCTCATTCATGAACATGCAGTCATGGGTACAAGAGCATCCGTGTGCAAATTTTGGCTCAAAAACATTGGATGCATAAAAACTAGGTAGAGAAAAATTAAGATATTTTAATCAGCATAAGATAAACAAACATGTTTATGACTTTCACTCACTTTCCAAGACATGTTTTTAGCCTGAGGCTCTCCAGAAACTCATTGTAGAGCTATTTTGAAATCTATTTCTACATTCCTTTGGTATCTGATACAATGGTAAGTATTTCTCATGGTACCCACATGAAGTTAAGCATCAGCCAGGTGGGAAAGATGTGCATTAATTAATTCCAATAATCAAGGACACTAAAAGCAAGAAATACAACTTTCTGGCTGTGTAATTTCTACTTCTGAATCTTCAACCTCTCACATACGATTTGTTTAATGGCTCCTGTAAAATCTTTAGAGAAGTAACAGCACAAGTTCAACCCCTGGCCAGGGAGCTGACCCACATGGCACAGCAGACCTCTCCTGTCTCCCCTCAGTAATGAGTTTCAGTAGACCTGTCTGTTCTGTTCCCCACTCTGTCTGGTGAAGCCTCTCAACTCCCAACACCCCACCTTTGGCCTATACCACAGTTCTTCTATGCAAAAATAAATTAAATCTTTAGAGAATTAAAGGACCTTCAGTCCTTTGCATTGAAAAAAACACATATTGTGATATATTAATTTCAGAATAATGAAGTTTCTCCCTAATGTTGTACAGCCACTTTCCTTTATATGAAACACTACAATCATCTTAAAAAGGAAATAGAGTAAAAAGTGTAACTCATACATGTCTTCATATGTTTCTCCTTCACTCTCTTGATCCTGTCCAAAAAAAAAAAAATTAGTTTTAATTTTGAATTTAAGATATGAGTAATGATTGATTTTAATTTTAACACAAATATTACATTACAAAAATACTTAGAAAGACAAGTGTAAATTTAAATGTATGTAAAATTGGCTTGTACTTTAGTGATAGACTGAGAATATAAGAGTTAAAAAGTTTAATTTTATATTCTACCATATAATTCAGAGGTATAGCCAGACTTAAGTTTATGTTGAGTACTATGAAATTATTATGTTAGTGTTTAATGTCTAAAATATTTCTGATGAGACAAGATTATAAATGGAAAAATATCATTATTCATAAGAATTTTTATTTGTTTGGTTTATATCAATAGAAATGAATAATAATAGTTAAATATTTAGCTATAGCAATATAATATGAGAAGGAAAAAAATCTGACCTCTTCTAGATTTCCAGTACCTGAAAGGTTAAAACAAAGATTAAAATTTAATATGCTGTGATTAAGAAGCACTTTAGTAAAGGATTATTACATAGAATGTAATATTCTAAACAGTTAAACAGAATAACAAAATTGATGCTTTATCAAAGATATAGAAGCACCAAATAGAATACATGTTTTGGGCCCTTACTATGTTTTTTTGATATTGACAACTGAATTATAAAAATTTATAAAATCATTTGTTTTCCATAAAATAATACAAAAGTCAAAAAATAATGAAGAAGCTGTTTAGTTCTTCATGAAAGGCTTCATTTGATTATGTAGCTTTTGTGGAGTAAAAGCATTTTTAGAAAAACCACAATTTTATACTTTCTGACTCATTTTGCACAAGGATGGATTTGCATTCATGCATCAAACAAATCAAGTTAATTGGATTTTATAAACATTTTACTGCTAAAGTGCTTAGATATGAGAGCACAGAGCAAAAATTAAAAAAAAAAAGTGGTGTCGGTATAAAAACAAATGGACCAATGTAATAAAGTAGACAGATGAGTGACAGATGACAAATTTATATGCACACACGTACCCATATATATATATACAGACAAAGCACTCATGTTTATATGCTCAGACACACACTAACAGTTGATAAAGAATAAAATGGCATTATAAATTAACCTAAGAATGGATTTTTCCATTTAGAGTATAGTAATGGCAAAATGATCCCATGTATGAGGTAACAAATTCTACTGACTCTTTAAAGGTGAAATACAGATCAAAGGCCTAAATATGAGGGCTAAAGTTCATAAAAGAAAGTATGAGAACTCAAGACAGAACTTCTTTAATAAAACGTAAATAGCACACACTATAACTTTAAAATTAATGAATTATATAAACAATCATTTATGTTCAGGCAAGGACAAGAGCTAAGTTAATAAAAGGGGGTGGAATGAAAAGGTAATGTCTACCTCTGACATGAGATTACCAATATCTGGAATGTATAGGATTGCTAGTCAATCAGAAAAAAGATACCAATACCAAGAAAAAAATAGTTAAACCATATGAACTGGCAACTTACAGAAGAGGAAACCATAAAGGCTATTAAATGAATGAAGTTCACCTTCATCAACAGATGAAATTTAAAAATTAAAATGACTATTTTATACATATAGATAAGACTGAAAGAAAAACTAAAACTGCCTTCCTGGTGGAAGGCAGGCATCTTGGAATCTGTGTGTCATACTGGTGAGAGTATAGACAGTTACAGCTCCCCTGAGCACTCCACTCTATTCAGCCAAAACCGAATATTCCATATCCCATGAACACCATTCCACTGCTAGACATATATCTCGAAGAAAGTCTCTTGGAGGTGCAAGAGAAATCCATGCACATTGCAGTATTATTTAAGGTACCAGTGAGTTAAAAGTCAATCTGTGAATGCATGAGCTGTATAACAATACGAAATACTATGCTGCAGTCAACAGTAACAAAATAAATACACATAGAGTAACATTACACTGACCAGAGAGATAACTTATGCAAATTCAAATGCATGCACTTAGACAATATTATGCAAAACATACACAAATACATATACTTTGAATATATTAGCATACTGGTCTGTGGCAAAGAGAAGAGAGGAAAGAGATGTGGGTATAGAATGAAAAGGGAATGAACAAGTAAGTAAAACAAGAATGGGGTTCTAGCATGGGTCATGATGATAATGATCCATTAATAACCTTTGAGAATGATTAATTCAATATTCTGTATCTGCAGGAGTAAGTTAATAAATGAAACATCTCTGCCTCTTACCTTCAGCATGCATGGCACCATCCTGACTGTCTTCATTTACAGAGCTTCTAAAAACAAGAAAGAAGAAACACTGAGAAGAGAACTAATGGGTGTTCACCATGCAAGGAAAAAGAATAACAGGAAAAAAATTTAAATATTCTTTTTAATATTTGCTCTGATTTAAAATTTCAAAAGTCATTAGGATATACTTTAGCCTTACACTTGGGTTGTTGGTCCTGTAGAAAAAGCAAAGAATCAGAGAGGTTGAATACAGTACTGTCCATTCATGGTGGGTAGATGCAATCAATCTGGTTTTAGAGCAGCAATGTTTTCCTTTAAAATAGCAGTAAATCAATATTCAATTCTAGGATTCTGACAGCAGTTAATTGGTTCTGTCATATATATATATTTATATATGAAAGGGAATTAGTTCTAATCTTCAACTCCTTCCTGTTTTCCACATATTCACCTGGTTTTAATTTCCACCTCTTTGTGTCTTGAACTCCAAGATGCTTCATTCCAAACCCTTCACTCCAACTTCTCTTAACATTGTTAATACTCCAAACCCACAACAATTAATAGCACAACCTATATTTACTATTTCTATTCTCTAGTTGATTAGCATGGGTGTGAAAAAATAGCCATTTTATTGATTCTAGATTTCTCACATAATTGATGTTTAAGCTCAACACTATTCCATAATCTCATTGGACTGTTTTTAGTCAACCATGTCTTGTATCATCCTTCTGCCAGTTATTCAAAACCTTCACCACCTTCTTCATATATCCAATATCCTGTCTTCATATAACCAAAATCTATCTGAAAAATAGTAATTATTTTAAAAATAATAATCATTAAGTGTATAATTAGTATTGTAGGCTATATTATGCAAATGTAAGTATTTAAATTAGACCTCTGCATTATTAATTTTAATAAATTAAATATTAATTAAAAACACAAGCAGTAAACACCTTAGACATGAGAATGCATGGGAATTCTATAGTATAAAAACATATCTTTTAAAAAAATTGCATTATTTTTTATTGAGGGAGGCAACACTTGTAAATGCCACCATCGATGATTCAGAGATATAGTTCACACTCCTCACATGTACATCACCCATCCCCGCCACCATCAAGCACCCAGGGCTCTTTACTATAGTACCACTGGGTCCTCTCCACATTTTACCTCTTGCCCTTTACCCTTCCCATGTGGTAGCTTCAATTCTATGCTCAGAAACATGTTTCTTTTGTCAGTTCCATTCCCCCCCCCCCCCTATAATTTACACAAGAGCAAAATCATCTGGTATTTCTCTTTCTCCTATCGCCTTTTTCATGGAAGACAAGGTTCTTATGATCAGTCTTGTTCTTTGACAGACTTGTCTCATTTTTCTCCTACATTATCTTCTCACTTACTAACACTACTAGCTCATTTTCTGAACATCACTGGTTTCTCACTTACTAACACTACTAGCTCATTTTCTGAACATCCACTGCCATTTCCCTCTTCTGGAAAAATCTGCCCTCTGATCATACCCTGCTTGTAGTCCTCCTAAATCTTCAAGCCTCTTCTTAAACATCCCCTGGTCTGCACGTGTCCCTGTCTCCCCTAAGCCCACTAGGTTGCTGCTTCTTTGTTATGCATCACTCTACTAGAGTGATTATTCCACTTGCTATAATTCTACAGTAAGTGTCTCAGGTCTCTCTTCTCACTATCAGACAATAAGCCCCTTAAGTAAGGAAGACTGTCATTTGTTAGTTAGTTTATTATTATACCTGTCAATTTTAGAAAGTTATTAGAATAATTCCTGTCATGTACATGACTTACTAGGGCTGATGATGCCCTAGTAAAACTAAGGCATTAAATTAATAATTATAACTGAAGTGCATTGCTTATTATCATTTTTGAAAAAGATTTATTTATTTATGCATACAGAATGGGGTACAGGCCAGTGGTGAAAGGGTGGTGAGAGGATTCA